CCCGCCAAAAAATTTGCATATTTTTTTAAAACGTCCGTACACGGCACCTAGGCATCCACGGGGAATGAAATTAAAACAGGAGGGTCGCGCATGGGATAGGCACATACCCCCAAAGTTTCAGCCTTCTAGCTTTTCTGGTTCTCGAGTTGAAAGTGCGTAACAAAAGGTGCGAACACACAGACACACACACACACGCACACACACACAGATAGACAGCCTCTTCCCAATATGCGTTTTTGCAATTTACATATATGCAAAAACGCATAAAAACGATGCCAAGAGATATCTTTCCCACTGAGGCACATAAAGAGCTTCTTTTTTAAACAGATGCTTGATTAATGGAGTTGTTTTCAGGATGCGAACACATTCAATGATCCAGAGCTGCACCAAATGGAGCAGGGAGCGGCATTGGGAATAACAAAGGCACGCGACCTTGCTAGGCTGTTTTCACTTTTTCTGCAAGGAAGAATCGTATCAAGCTGTTTGCTGGACCTCTACAGGACACCAGAAGTGGCACACGGCCTTGATGAAGTGATTCTTGCACCATTGCCAAAAGGATATGGATTCATGTACGAGAGGCATCCTTATAAACCAGTATGTTTTTTCTAACTTTACAAATTATGTGCCTGCTAGCTCAGTGAATTTCACGTTGAACTTACAAAGGAACTCAATAAATTTGTGCTGGCAATACTGGATATAATACAACCTGCTGGGCTAATACATACTATCATCTTTGCATTCTATTGTCTTCAGCTAATGTATAAGGCAAGCGAACAAGAAAGCCACTTTTTCTATTTCCGATGTAGCACTGCACATTTTGTCATAACATGCGATGTTTCTAAATCGAACAGAATATGTGTTGAACGTAAGTTTTGTTATAACGAGATCGAATATGAGCTAATGTATCTTGAAAAATGCCTGTCCTCCTATGCCTAATTTTTTCATGCTTCAATGGCTGCTTATTGCATGTAGATTTCATAAATTCGTAAAGTTTTACAGCTTCTTTGCACCTGGCCAGGGAGGGGCTTATGTCAGTCACAGTAAAGAGTTTTTTTCCTGCAGCGGTGATTTGTTATTAGACGAAGAATACAATACAAAATCTCAAAATGAAAGACGGCATCAAGTAGCTTCCA